AGAGAGAGAGAGAGAGAGAGAGAGAGAGAGAGAGAGAGAGAGAATTGCCCAAGCTTGTTAGTGATACAGCATTGGCTAGAACTTGAGATTTTTCAGATACATTAAAAGTTTTCACAAGTCCATTTCAGTGACTTGGACATAAAGGACAAAATATTGAAGAAAATGTCTTGAACTTCACCTTGTCTCAAAACATACTTCAGTCTGAGTTGTAAAGTCCTAATTCTCAGGAGGTATATTATCAGTGCATACTAAGAAAGGAGTTTGAAGGACACCAGCCTTCAGGGACAGATCCTCTGGCCCTCATTATTTTATCTGTCAAAGGTTGCAAAAGAAGTAGAAAGAAGACCACTTGATAATCAACCCCAAAACATTGTGATTTTTAACAACAAGGGAGGGGAGAGAGGCAGATGGGACAACTCTGGTGGGTCCTGAAATCTTTGACCCAGTGCAACATTGACTGTTGAACCAATAGCATGCAAGTGTTGGAATATAAACAGATCTAAGTGCCTGATGGAACATCTTGACTCCAGAAAGTATGCTAAAGCCTTGTCAGCAACTGGCAAGGAAGTTCCTAGAATACTGGGCTCTCAGTAACTCTGATAATTCTTCAAAGCATAGTTTGCCTAAAGAAAAGGAGTTCAAACATTAACCAGGCATCTACTATGGGCCCAGAACTGTGTCAGGCCCAGGGTTTGAGTCAGGCACAGTGTCCCTAGAAGGAAGGAGCATGCAAACAACAGGTAAGATGGACAAGAAGTCAGTGGAAACTAGAGGTTTATGGTGCAATGTGACAAGCATTTACTAAGAGCCATGTCCTTGGGAGCACCAAGTAGGGAGCAATTCACTCATATTCTTTTTAAACAGGAATAGTTTCTAATTTTATTTTTACTTCATTAATTGCTTATATTAATCCTATCTACTATGACCAGTCTTCAACCTTCTGATCTATAGTTCTAACCTCATGTGTGTATTTCAAAGAAAAAAAAATATTTGTTATAAAAATTATATAGATTCATAGCGAAAAAGTTACAAAAATTCTATAATTAAAAAATAAATGATCTCAATTCTATCAGTAAGATATAACCACTGTTACTTAGTCTATACCTTTCAAAATAGTTTTGTATGATTCAGAGCCAGGTTTGTGTGAGACAGAGTTGCAACTTCTTTTCACTCAAAATTTCAAGATTTGGTTTACCATGAACTTTTTTGCATTGATTTTCAAAATTTATTTATTCCTATTACTGAGTTTTTGGTGACTCCCCCACTTGCTTCCCTCTAGTGCCAGTTCAGGCCTACATATCACATTACTGTAATAGTGCTGGTAAATGCATTTTAACTTAATATGCCACAAACATCTTCCTTTACATGACGTTTTATGAAAACATGTTGTGAAAAGTTTGAACGTAGAGCATATTACATAACCCAGCAAGAGAACAAAGTATTTGCAATTCAAACTGTCTTATATATACAGAGCATTGTCAGAGCTCAACTCTCAGAAGCACATTCAGTCATCACCACAAGCATCGCATTATCATGACATCAGCTTGCACAAACAGAATGACTCACTGAATCAAACTTTATTTTGAAAAAAAAAAATACATGAAAATATGACTTGAGATGGCAACAATGAAAACGGAGTCAGGTGGTCCTCCCTGGTTCAGAGCAGCTCGTGCAGGCCTCAGGATTGGTGCTCTGTGTGGCCTATCACAATTCCTCCTCTTGGGTTTTCATCTCGCCTAAAATTTTCAACTACAGAGAAAATGAGCTCCTCTCACACAGAGGGCAGAGTGAGGAAGCAGAGCTCCGTCTCCACACCAGCAAGACTTACTGGTTTCTGTTTGTCCTTAACAATGGCCCATGTTCATTGTAGAAAACTTTGAAACAGGACTGGGAATGTAACTCAGTGGTAGAGCACTTTCCTAGCATGTGCAAGGCCCTGAGTTTGATCCCCAGAAGTGGAAAAAATAAAATAAAACCCAGAAAATGGGGAAAAAAAATCTTTGAGTGACAAGATTAACACACTCATAATTTCACCACCCAGAGATAACCAATGTCAGACACACTATCTTTCATTATTTATTGGGTGTGTATGTTCGGTTTACTTATGAAATTTTAGTTATAATCTATATAAAGATTTCTCCTCTGCTTTTCTCACTTCTTGTTTCTTCTAACATTTTATTATTTATATGTGTGTATATAATGTATAAGTAAATAATATTTATAATGTACATGTAATATATAAGTATCTGGATAATGTAGAAATGATCTATATAATATATATCTAGTAAATAAGAAATGCTATACTATATAAATAGGAAATTATATATATGGTAAAAGGTATATAAATCTTTAGCTGCCCTTTGGGTCTTTTCCTGAATAAGTTGGATAGATGAAATTCCTGAGCCAAAGGCAGGCCTCAATCCTGCATTTACATGATGCTGCCTCATTCACTTTATCCTAATCCCAGCCCTGCGTCATAGCAAAGGGTTTTCGGACAGTGTATACTAAGGGGTTTTATGTTCGCATGTGCAAAAGAAGCCTTATAATTTATGGCTCATTTTTTTTTATTGGGATAAAGAGCCTGTCTTAGGAAACCTGCCCCAAGAAAACAAACTCCACCCCACCGGGTGGTGGTTGTGGCTCAGTGGTAGAGCGCTTGCCTAGTATGTATGAAGCACTGGGTTTGATCCTCAGCACCACATAAAAATAAATAAATAAAATAAAGGTATTATGTCCACCTACAACTAAAAAAAAAAAATTAAAACCTCTCCACCCCCAACCCACCTGAACTGATTTAACGCCTCCACTGAATAGACTGACCCCTGCATTTAGATCAGAGGAGAGGAGGGAATAGGATACCTCTGAGAGTTAAGGACTCACAGATCTCACGTTATGCATAATGAAAGAAAACAGCCTTTGTCTTGCAAATTGGATAAAGAACTTCAATGACAAATATTCAGTTCCTAAGGGAAATGTTCACATCATTTTCCTTCCATAGTTTTTAAATTAAAGCAATAATACATATCCATTAGATTAGCTGTGGAAAATTATAAAATGCAGGTGAACAAAAGAAAAAAATAGTCTAAAGCCTCATTACTCAAAGATAATCATTAATAATTTAGGACATATGTATACTGTATCTATTCAAATATGTCTAATTTTTTCAAAATGGGAATGTACTTTACATACTACTTTTATACAAAGAATATTGTCCCATCTTACCTTGAGCAAGAGTCTATGCCACAGACGTGTCTGCCTGCCTGTCCATTTCAGGAGTATCTTGACAAGTATTACACAAAGAAAGGTGGTCACCAAGTTGGTGAGATGGCTGCAAGAGGAGGCAACGCCATGGTCAAGAAGATCAAGGAGCTACAAGCATTCTTTGGCCTCCAAGTCACTGGGAAATTGGACCAGAATACAATGGATGTTATCAAGAGGCCTCGCTGTGGAGTTCCTGACGTGGCCAACTATCGCCTCTTCCCAGGTGAACCCAAATGGAAAAAAAATACTTTAACATACAGGTAATGAGATGCAGTCTTTTCAAATTCATAAAGAATATCTCTCTCCCTTTCTCTCTCTCTTTTTTTAAATCTTCCTTCTGATCTGTATAAAAAGCATGACTCCTCACAACCATGAGAAAAAATAAGAACTTTGTAGGTCCATCAAACAATGACAATGGTCAATTTGCTTGAAAATAAAATCTCATGATTATCACAATGACTGGCCATCTTAGGCATTATAGATAATTTCAACAGTTAGAAACAACATATCAATCTTTAAGGAAAAGTAATTTAGTATAGGATTAATAACCTAAGAATACCACCAGTTTTCTTAAAACAATCTGCTCAAAAAGAAAGATAAAACTTATTCATTAACAATTTTTTTATTGATTCCAAAAATCATTTAGTGATGATTTATTATCTGTCTACTATAGGCATTCAGTTGAAGGGATGTAAAGGTGATTAGATCCCCATGACAGTCTTTAGGAATCTCACAAAACTTTCAGGGAGACAGACATAAGACAGCTACAACTCTGCATGAAAAGAATGAAATTATAGGTCTAAGCAGAGAACCGTGGGAGAATGTGGAGGGAGCAACCACGTTGCCAGGGACGGGCAGTAACCTCTAGGCCTGATCTGAAGGCAAAGCAGTTCTTTGGAGCTTGCCTCACCCCATCCTCTGGACTCTTCCTGTGCATACCAACAGGACACGGCTAACAGGAACCATTGTCCTTGTTCCTTGTGCTCTGGGTATTGAGACCAGAATCTCCTCTCCAGCAGCCTGGACCTACTTCTGGGCTAATTCCTTCACAGATTAGTTCAACTAAGGGTGGGTCATCCACAGTGCATACCCCACGGCCTGAGAATAGGCTTCAGGATAGTGCATAGTGCCTGCAAGTGTGAGCCACACACATGCCAGATGATTGTAGCTTTGGAAAAGAATGGTCTCCATTTGTAGTCTGGCTCCAGTTCTTGCAAATGATAGGGTTTTTTTTCATAGAAAAGCAAGGGAAGCAAATAGCAGAGAGGACAATAGCCTGTGGTGTTAGGCAGCATTCCTGCACCAGTGTACAAGTCCTGAAATGGCCTGACCATTTACGTAGAGGGCAGAGGAAGGGGACTGTGGGAAGCGAGGCTGGAGAAGTAGCCTGAACAGCAACTAGAATGTGATGTTTGGACTTTATTTCCCAGTAGTGGAGAGCCAGGCCTGATTCTATTGCATTTTAAGGATGAGCACATCCAGAAGGTATGTAGAGGTAAGGAAAGCAGGCCTGCTGCAGAAGTTCAGGCTTTGGTGTGCTGGAGCTGGCTCCTAACAATTCAGGGGGCAGTCTTTAAAATGACAGGAATTTGGGGGCCAGTTAATTTCTCAAGAATTTTATGAATTCATTGCTAAGATAAACCCATTATTAAACTATTTAAATTAACAATTAGATTATTTTAGAAAACAAAAGTAATCAAAACATATTGCTGTTTTCCTACATTTTATTATCACCTATATTTACAAAGCTGGGTGCATCTATTTTATCAGTATGGTAGAAACACTACACAATGGTGCCCTCCTGCTCATTTTTTCCCCAATCAGGGCTGGCAAGTCGCTAGTCTGAAATTAGCCACAGTGATAATATTTACAACACAGAAATCAGCAAACCATACAAATCAGGAGACTTTTATTTTCCTTTGCAGAACCAGTTGTTAAACTGTTCTGGAGCACTGGTGAGTAACCATGATCACACACTCAGGGAGCAGAGGATTCGGCCATTACCTGCTAGGAGCCCAAAAATCCATAAGGTGGCGCTGTGAACAAAAAAATCAAAGCCACTAGGGCAGAACTGGCATATAAATCCATGGAATCTTTTCATAGTTTTGTTTTGTTTTTTGTTTTGTTTTTCAAACTGTCCCAGAATTTTAGTCCATGACTATGCACCACAAAAACAAAGGGCATGGATCAAGATAACATAGCACTTGGAGAAACATAATGTTCCATGATAAATCGGGCAACTCCATAATCCCTCAACAGATACTACCCATCCATTCTTGCTCCCTTCAAGTTCCTTATTTCCTCACCCTTCAAAGACAAAAGAAGTGATCTTAGCAACCTGTCTGTACAGAATACAGTAGCTACTAGATGTCAGAATAACTTCTTATAACAAATACTAGATGATTTAAAAAGAAAAATACAATATAATGCTTATATACATAAACTTTGAAGTCAGACATAACTGGGCTCAAATCCTGACTAATCAGAAAATGTAGATGATGATGATGATGATGATGATGATAATTATCTGTCTCATCGGTTGTTTTGAGAAGAAGATAATAGAGAACAGTTAAATAGAGCTGAGCTTAGGGTGTAGCTCACACCTAGGGTGTGTGAGGCTCAGGTTTGATCTCTATCACCACAAACACACACACACACACACACAAAAAAAAAATACAAAATAGTGCTTACAGTATCTGTTCAAAGAATATTAACTATGATTACTGTTGCTTTTTCAATAGATTCTGGGTCAGGATTTTCTCTTTATACACATAATCAATACAAAGATACACCTGACTTGTCTATAATGTGAGAAAATTCCAAGGTACTAACTATACAAGGTGATAAATTACAGATTGATACTGCAACATAGGCTTGGCATATTTTGACAACATTAAATAGTTATTTTAATGGTCTTTCTGGTTTTCCCCTTTATAACTACCTCCTTTTGGTCCCAACTCCTGGATTTTAAGATCTCCTTGTTCCTTCCCCTCTAAGTTCTGAAATGAGCTATTTACCATCCAGCTATTTACCAATGAGCTATTTAGAACCCCAGTTATTGGTTTCTGGTTGCAGTTGTACCATTTATCAGAATAACCAAGGTTGCTTGCTGCAATGCAGATTTCTGGACCACACCTGTATATTTAACAAGCTTCCTAGGTAGTAATCGAGGGTCTTAAAGTTTGATTACACACTGAGTAGTCCCTAAATGGCTAACTTTTATTCTTTAATTTATCAATCATTTCCCAAGAATCTTCTATGTGCAAAACACTGGAGCAGTAACTAGAGGAAGAGGGAAAGGAGGCTCAGATCCTGCTCCAAGGTGGCTTGGCACACAATGGTATTCCAGCCCAGCCCAAGGTCCCATGTGGATGTTCCTCTCTCCTGCCCTTCCTTTTCCGAACTGCTGCCAGAAACCCCAGGCCCCAGGCTTCAGAGCAAAGAACCACTGTCTCTGTTTCTACCCATTATTTGTCCAAAAAGGACTATATTTTTCTGCCTTTAGGTGTCATTGTCACACCAGGACTTGCTGAAATGCTCCCTGCCCTCCTTTTCCAGTCCCAATGAGCATCCTTTTTTAAAGCTAGGATTTCCTCTTTGAGAAGGCATTATGTTAAGAAAAAAAAAAAACATTCCCCAACAGTCCTGGGGAAATCCCACTGCCCTTTGAATGAGAATTTGAAAAGCCCCCAAAATGCACATCTTTATTTTTTTATAATTGAAAAATTCAGTTGCCCTTTTGAGGAAAAAGAGGCCATCTCTCAATTAAAACCAATTTCAGGAAAATACACTTCTTACTAACTGTAATGTTATACAAGTATTAATCTTTAAACTGAGTAATAGTGCCATGACAATGAAAACAAAACCGTTTCAGTACCAGATCACCGCGACTTCCGTTTCTCCCCTTCATTTGTCTTGTTGGTTAACATGAAGCAACTTAACATATTATAAAAAGCAAAATAAGAATTATTGTTTCAGAGGGAAAAAACCTTAAATTACAGATGTACATTCAACCGTTTTGGTTTTTTACAAGCTATAACATAGTGCTTGACATTCGTCGCTTGGGAACAATTACTGACTGAAGAACACGTTCCTTCTCTTTTCACAGAATAGCCAAATACACACCTTCCATGAGTCCTATTGAAGTGGAAAAAGCAGTAGAGATGGCCCTGCAGGCCTGGAGCAGCGCCGTCCCTCTGAGCTTTGTTAGAATAAACTCGGGAGAAGCCGATATTATGATCTCTTTTGAAACTGGAGGTACTGTGGTGCTTCTTGAATTTCATCTACTAGAGCAAAGGACAACTGTTCCAACAGTGTTCCTTCTACATACTTAATCCAAGAGATCAGCACGATTCTCCATCACGTGGTGTGGTGGAGGGCAGAGGCCTAGACCATGGTAAAGTCATGTTCTTCATCTGGTCAGAAAACGGAACCCACGAGTTCTGAGCATTATCTGGCCATCAAGAGACTCAGCTGTAGAACAGACTCACGGTGACGAGCTTTCACTGAATTCCTCAATGTCCCTGAGGCAGATTTTCACCCACAGCAATGGTTCCTTGTAGACTACCTTTTGGGAGGTGCATTCACAGGGAATACTAAGGAGTAGAGCATGAGCTGCACAGTGATCCATGGAGAGTTCTGAACCCTTTACAGAGAAACGTGTCGGAAGTAAAAGGAAGTCAAATAGCCTATGAAGTCCCCTTCCCTTCTCAGCTTCCTAATGGTGGAGATACAGGAGAGCTGCTGCTTCTTGCCATCTGCTGACAATGTTTCTACGTACCCTTGACATTTCAAGTCTTGATCTTAATTTTAGTCTGATGCCTCTAGGGCAGAACATAGTTAAGGGCTGAGAGAGAGAGAGAGAGAGATCAAACAAGTCCTGAGCACAAATCCTTAAGAAATGGCCCTGGCCCTTGGCGGTTACTGTTGCTCCCAGAGGACCAATGCCTCTTGGGGAAGTGTCAGGGCACAGTGACTCAAGGCAGCTTTGGGGGCCATGTAGTTAATATATGGCTCTCATCTTTCAAGCTGGTACCCTGTCCCCTAATACAAAGGTTGACTAGGGGCCCTGCAGTCATCATTATGTCCTCAGGACAGGCACCCAAGTTAAACTTCATTGCACTGACACCGGAGAAATGCTGCAACTGGACTTTGGTTTTGTTGGTTTAAAAAAAAAAAAATAGGGCATACTCACAAAGATTCTGAAAAAAAATGTAAAATGTAGCTTCTACTACATCCCTCATTTTGTTCTTCCTTCTTTTCTGTTAAGTTCCCAATGAAAGGTTAATTTAAATATAGATGATAAAACAAAAACCTAGAACTTCAAAGGTTAGAATTTTCCCTAAATTTCATACATGAAGGTATTTAAAAATTATACATAAATTTCCTTTTTTCCTTTTCAACACTTCCTTAAATTGACTTATATTGTGGGATAATCAAAAAGCTTGTTAAATTTACTACACCCTCTCAGCTGACTCGTATTTCAAAAGTCCTTTCTGCCAAATGTGCGCGTTCCAATCAGTGACCAGGTTACTATCTAATGTCCCCTTGTTCTTTCTTCTTTTGTAATCTAAGGTACATGCATAGCTCACAGTATGCTTGTCACCATAAAAACAACCACACACACAAAAAAAGGTTTTTCATTTTTAATGCTACCTCTGAAGTATGAAGTTGTACTTTTTATTTTTCAATGGGCAGTTACTGTTGATATGTGAACTTCTTATAACAATGAATATTGGGAAAGTAAATTTAAGTGTCAATGCTATTCAAAGTGTTGTTCATTCTCTCTGCCCCTCAGAACTGCTAGGACTTAATCCTATTTCCTGTTATTTAGATCATGGGGATTCCTATCCATTTGATGGGCCTCGAGGGACTCTAGCCCATGCATTTGCACCTGGAGAAGGCCTGGGAGGAGACACACATTTCGACAATGCTGAGAAGTGGACTATGGGGATGAATGGTATATATGCACAATTCACCATAACCTGGAAAATATTGTACCTTCTCCTGGGCCTCCATCATGAAACCTTGAGGTTCAACGTCCCAAGCCACCCTTTAACTAGGGAGGCTGGCTAGGAAAAACAAGTAAGCCAAAAATCCAAAAGGGAACTCCATAAGGGAAAAGACCCACCCAAGATTGTGCTGTAGACTTGTCTGATCTGTTTAATAGCATAAAAATCTCAGGAAACAGCAATGCCCTCCTCACACAGCTCTCCTTTTCTTCAGTAATTCGACATTTTATTGTTTCTCACTTGTACTTGGAAATAAGCTACATTCAGAAGTGACCCAAGGGAATCTGTACTCTCCTAAGAAGTGTGATGGGGATGGGTAAAAAGATTCCAGAATATCATGCAGGTCATCTGGAGATCAGTGTGAAATGTGGATAAATAGAAGTAGGCTGTGAGAACTGAAAACTGTTCAAGCATTTGTGGTCTAAATCTGTATTATTTTGCCACTACTAGCTCAAAGGCCCTTCTTTATCAATCTATCAAGCATCACTGACAAAAAAAGAAAAAAAGAAATTGGACTGTTTTACATTTCTATCATCCCCCACTCTCCAACAAGGGGAAAGAACTAGACTAAAGTCAGTTAATTGCCACAATGGCCTACCAACCTCTGAACAATCCAGCTATGAAAAGGACATGAGTTAACTGTGATTTGGGCATAAATTCTCCTGGAAAGAGAGAAGAGAGAGAAAACAAAAACCTGTGTTGATGATGCCTTTCTCTCTCACATTGTTTAGGTTTCAATTTATTTACTGTTGCTGCTCATGAATTTGGCCATGCCCTGGGCCTGGCCCATTCCAGCGACCCAACAGCACTGATGTACCCCACGTATAAGTACCAGAATCCCTATGGATTCCGCCTGCCCAAGGATGATGTAAAAGGGATCCAGGCATTGTACGGTATGATCGCTACATTTCTTTGCCCACTAATCCTGAAAGTGACAGGCATTTGGTCTCCAACTTAGAGAAAGGGCATTTTGCCAGGAGTTACCTATATAGGTAATAATTAAGCTGGAGACCCAGACCCAGTGATATCTTCTGTCAAGAGCCTATTTACCAGTTATGAACATTGTTTTTTTTCCTAAGACGTGCAATTTAATTTGCGTCTTTCCTCCAGAGCATTCTGAACCTGGATGGCTGTAGAAAAATGGCCATTATCTGGTTTGTTTTTTGTTGTTTATTTTTTGTTTTGTTTTGTTTTGCAGCAAAAACCTCAGGGTGCTTCATCTTCACAAGAATTCATTCAGTCTTTCCTGGATGCCTAGTAAAGGTTTCAGTGCAAGTCAAATTTATACTTTGAGAGAGGATGCATATATTTTACAATTCATGTATACGGTGCTTCCCCATTTGCAGACAAGTAGCCTTATATTCCTAAAAATAGAAATGATGATGATTATAACCCACCACCCAGACGCATAGGCAGTCTGCAGTTTATGAAACATACTCACATATGTCATCTCATGTCATCCTCATGACATGACTGTAGGGTGTAGGATATTTTCCTCATTTGATAACTGAGAAAGCTGAGGGTCTAAGATATTCAAAATTATCTCAAGTGTTAACATTCTTTCAAAAGGTAATAAAATATTACTAGAAACTATATCCACGTTTCCTTAAAGGGAAAACAAATCAATCCATTCATAAAAAGGCACCCAGGAAAGACTGAATGAATTCTTGTGAAGGTTGTTGCTATTGAAAGGTATCTTCTGGTGGATCTGTGTGTAAAACAGGGACCCACTCTTAGGCACCCAGGAAAGACTGAATTCTTTTATAAGATGATAATTTTTATTCAGTGACTAAAAAGATAGAAAACTTTAGGGGACTGATTTTCCCTTGGACCTTGGAGTCCTGGTTACTCAGTCTTGCCAGAGCCTCTCCACATCCTCTAAGCCTAGAGAGCCAGGAGAGCCAGAGCCCTGTGACTTCTTGAGCATTTGCCAGTCCACCTGCTAACTAGAAAGGGGTGCTGCATCTGCAAGCACTCATATGTCACCTTGCACACAAAAGACAAATTTTTATCCAAAGAAGCCTTCAGCCAGCCAGCTTTAATTTCCACAAAGGTTAGATGCCACTTCCACTCCACGCTGGGACAGGGGAAATACTGTGAATGCCTCTATTTCACATACTCTACTCCAGAGCATCCAGGGGCAAAACTGCAATGTGATGCAATTCTTATGGGCTGCTAAGAAGGGCCAAGCCAAAGACTCACCTTTATAGGTGCTTGTGGGCTGCAAGGCACCATCCTTCTCAGCCAGGAGCCAAAGCATGTATTTTCACAGGGTATTTATACAGGAGTGAACAGATAATAATAACATAAGTTTGTTATGGCAGGTAGTGCTCAGAGATGGAGTGTGGGAGATGAAGACTCACTAGTTGCTCTTCCAAGGAGTGGATTCCTATTTTACAAACAGATCTACCAGAAGATACCTTTCAATAGCAAAAACCTTCAGGGTGCTTTATCTCCACATGAATTCATTCAGTCTTTCCTGGGTGCCTAGTAAAGGTTTAAGCACAGTACAAAATGCCAAAGAATAAATAAACAAATTTAAAAGCACCCAAGGAAGTGACACTCTAAATGAGGGGTGGGGGATAGAAATTAATTACCAAGAAATAATTAAGGAAAATTTTAAGTTACACTTTTACAATATAACTTATATATCAAAGAAATTATGTATAACAACAAAATAATAGCAACCATGTTTTAAACACTGACTATAGGCTAAGCATTCATACGTGATTTCAGGCATTATTTGATTCTCATAAAAGTCTTTGGAGGTAGAGTCTATTATTACAGTTCTCGTTTTATAATCAAGGAAACTGAAGCTTTAAAGAGTTAAATTATCTGCCTCAAATCACACAGCTCAGCAACGAGGGCAGCCAGGATTCAAACCCAGATCTACCTGCCATTTTTTATGACATAACACATACAGAATGAAAGTGCACAAGCCCCTGTGTCTCTAGAGCAGAAGTGTACAAACTCCAAATTCCTGGTACCATTTTGACCAAGACACTTTGAATCCTAGGACCTCGGAAACCATTCCTGGGAAAACCCACTATTCCCCATGTCCCTCCTCACAAGCCATCCAACCCCGATCCCTGTGACTCCAGAGCATCCTTTGATGCCGTGACAATGCTGGGGAAGGAGCTTCTGTTCTTCAGGGACCGGTAAGCCTCAGACATACCCCCAACTCTTGTCAGGCCTCGGATCACCTCCAGACAAACATCCCTTCAGAGGTCATTGTTGTTGCCCTGTCTGAAGTTCATGTGTAAATGCATCTTGAATAGCAGTAGGGTGAACAGCAAGGGTCTTTGCAGAGATAAAGAACTGCCCAAACTATCGTAGTCTTGGTATCGTGCGAAGTGCTTTCCATACATGTGCAGTGTTTCTTCTAAACATTATCACAGTAGAGATCAGAACTCCCAATTTAGGGAGGAAGAAAGTAACTCAAAGAGAAAATTCCCAAGATAGCGGTTAAGTGGCTGAAGTAAGACACTAGCCCAAATTTATCTGATATCTGTTCTCTTTACTACTATGTGCCTAGAGAGAGCATGTTGTAAGTGTTCAATAAATATTTGGTTGACTATTTGGACAAAGAGGCAAATAGGAAGATGATTGGATGATGGTGGGTGGTAATCTCTTCTTCAAGGCTTCCAACTTTCCTCCTTTCCGTTAGCTGTCAGATAGCATACAGAAGACAGATCCCTTTCCTCTCCACTCTCTGGCTTCTAGGGGAACATGGCTGCTGCCTCCATAACACTGGTTACTGTAATTTATTCTTTTCATGGAAGAAAAGAGAAATAGCCACATTTATCTACACTGGAGATGGAATCCAATCACACCAGGATAGTCAGAGGAGCTCAGAAATGTGTGTATGGCATTATCGTTTTTCTCCATTGGGCCCATATTGGGTGCCAAGCACTACTGTAATGTCTAGGGATGTAAAAATGGATCAACATCCTCTCTGCTTTTGCTCACCTCATAGTTGCTTGAGACAGAAGGACACTCAAAAATCATGGCAAGACACAAGCTCTAAAATATAGAAGAACTATGAGACCAATACACGGAATAAGTACCTGAGAGGTCCAGAGAGACTTCACTGAGGAGATGATGTCTGAGAAATCTGATGTTTCTTTGGGAAATAGATCTTTAACCTATTATTACAAGAATACTTTTTGTCTATTCTGAAAAGAGAGAGAGAGAATAACAAAATATACAAAAGAATCCCACCACCCAGAATGCATTATTCCGCTCAAGCTGCCATAACAGAACATCATAGACAGGGTGGCTGAAACAATGGAAATGTATTTCTCACAGTTCTAGAGACTGAAAAGTCCAAAGTTAAGGTTCCTGTAAAGTAGGTCTCATCCTGAGGCCTCTTCTCTTGCCTTATAGGCAGCCGCCCCCTCACTATGCTCTCGTGGCCTCTTCATACACATGTAGGGAGAGGGAGAGAACTTTCCGATGTCTCCTTTTATAAGGGCACTAAATGCTAGTATAAGGGTGTTGCCCTCATGACTTTACCCAAACCTGTTGTCTCCCAAAGCCCCACCTCCAAATATCATCAAGTTGGAGGTTAGGGCTTCAGCCTATGAGCTAGGGGAAGGAGTGGCCCAAACACTCAATTTGTAACAGAGTGATCACATTGTTAACCATGGTTTTGTAAATCCTTTCAGACTCTTTCTCTGGATCAAAAGTTATCTATTGTTAATATGAGAAGGCAAAGATTTACCAAAAATAAGATTTTACTACTTGTGTTGATTTTGAAATGTATTTCCCTCAACATCATTTCACTTTTTCATGTCAATTAATTTTAATTTTAATCTTTCATATATTATCTATTATTCCAATGAATAGATATACCACTACTTAATTAACCAATCCCATATTTCAGAATATCTATATTGCTTCCAATTTTTTAAAATTAAGTGCAGCTTGCAATAAATCTTTAACAATGCAAAGGTATTTACTTTTCAAAGGCAAATCAGAGCAGAGGCTGGGAACCTCCCTCTTACTGATAAGGCCACAGACACAAAATGAGGGCTCAGTAAATGGAAGTTGCTGTGCATAGGAGTGGGAATCAAAAAATATGTAATTCATGTAAGCAAAAAGGCTTAGAAACGGCTAAGGTATTTAGAAGACCTAAATGATTTTTGTCATTTTTATGTATTTTTTTTATTTTTTAAGATTTATTGATCATTTTCCTACTATTACTGTCAATCAAAATAACAACAGAGAGAAAGGATCTCCAGGGAAACCACAAGTTCATCTAAGAGAGAGCAGAGGACCACAATCCATGTACACGTGCTACTTGAATTATGATGCATCTGAGGAGGTTAGGGCAAGAGGAAGCTTTTGAAGGCAAAAAAGGAGATGTTCTCTGCAAGCTGTCCAGAACCAAAGCTCTTCAGCCACAGAGGCTCACTGCAGGTGCTGGAGATCACTCACTGATAACACTGATTGCTTCACAGAAGCAACCTACCTGGATTTTTTTTTTTTTTCTGAACTGTGAGAGTGTTCTGGTAGTAGTTGTTATCTCACACAGAGAAGCATAAGAACCTCTCATGATTTCCAGCTCTGCTTTGGTTCGTGTCTAATATAAGCAACTCCATCTTGGCATTGGCAGCTTTTGCTTTACCAAAAAGTAAACTAATGGAACCCTAGGCATTGCCCCAGGAGTAGTAGACAAGGTGGAGGGCAGGCAGAGCTGGGACACAGGGCTGAGGATTCACCTGAAGCTTAACATTATTAGAGTCCATAGTGAAAGAGTGTCCGGACACTGAACAGCACGCAGCCCTCATTCAGGGATAAAGAAGTGAGGCCATTGTGTAGAGCGTAGCTGCTTCTTCTGGTAAATATCAGTGGCTGTGGTAGTGGCAAAGGAGACGGTGTAGTCAGGATACTATACCTTTGCATTCAATTATAATTATTTTCTTTAAAAAGCAGAACCAAACCAAAAACCCTCTATCACACTATGAACACTTAGCAATGACTAATGACCATTTGAAGAGGACACATCTTTTGGCGTTTTGACTATGAACACTGAGAGTGAAAACAGAATGGACAGAAGGCAGATACAAGAGACTTGTAGGAATGAGTAAGCGAAGGTGGGACATTAACGAAGGGGAAATGGCTTACTAAGGATGTACTGAGCTATTGGGGCTGGACAGGTCATTCCAAAGAATGAGGAAAAGCTGTAAGGAGGATAAAAGTCAGAAGTGGCTTTGCCTTTAACTTGCCAGAGACCTTGAGCCTGTCTTCTCTGTAAAATTAGGATGTTGTCTGATTATTAATAGTGAATTCAATTGCTCAGAACTTACTATGTGAAGCACCTTGTTATCAAATCCTTACAAAGGTGTTATTCTCTTTCTACAAGACACAGGAAGGACAAACAACTTGCTCAGAAGCATATAGCTCAAGAGGGTGAAGCTGGGGTGCAAACCTGCTATCACACTCCTGAGTCAGTGTTCCTAACTACACTGCTCTACTGCTCCAAGGTGCCATCCAGAGCTGGGATTCCAGGACTCCCTAGCTCTGATCCCCTACCAGCTGCCACCACAAGTCCCAAAGTATTTGTTCAGTCTGGACAAAGAACAAAGAATTCTTTCAAGCCACAGTTAGAATGGCAATCAGAGAGTCACTGATTATGAAAGGGCTCTGATCTGCTCTCTCCCACTCACCAGCCCGGAATTCCCCGTCACCAACAATAATCTGTTAATGGGACATTGCAAGCTGTGGCATAATAACCATGCAGTTTGTTTCCAAAGCAAGATGGAATGCAGGACCTTGTAAAGGCCCCATGAGATTGTTAGATATTCTCCCTAGTGTGTACATGTACATTCCAATGATCTGGTGAAAAGAACAAAGCTCACCTACAATCAGTTAAAAGGCATAAGTAGATATTTAGATAGATATGCACTTTCATTTGCTCTTTATAATACATGACAAAACATTAAGGCTATTTCATTCTTCCTTCATTAGTTACAAAAGAAAAGAGAAAAATGACTGGATTTGCAGTCATATTAAAATTATATTATATCTTCCAGGCTATTTGGGGGTTTTCCCATCATAATTTTAATGATAAAATCAAGACCATCACAATCAGCTACAGATCTTAGAAGAATAATAGATTTATGAATAATAGATTTATTTAATGATGAAGAAACTAGACCCCCATCTCAGCCCGCAGACCATCCACTGCAGGCCAGAGTCTGTCCAGTTCCTAATATGGGGAATCTGCAAGTTAGGAAATGGAACTACCAAGGAAAGCACTGGACTTTAACATGAATGAACATGGGCTTTTTGAACTGTTGCACATTGGTCTTTTCCAGGCTATTCCCAGACCATCTGCCTACAGGTTGGGAGCCAGCAGGCAGCAAGGAAAGGATTTTTTTTTTCTCTCTCTCTCCTCAAAAATAGGATTCTTTATTTTTAACAATCTGTTGATCGCTAACTCACACTCACATTTTAAAAGATTTTGCATATCTCATAGAATACTACTACTAATAATAATAATCATTTGTAAGGGAAGGATGGGTGTAAGAGGCTGCTGATGGATTCACCAGTGAGAGAGGAGGGCCCCAGCAGGGAGCAGCCTCATGGCTGTGCTGTGATGGTGTTGTCCACACAGGAGAATCACGAGATTTGGGACACATGAAAAACAAAGTCTATCCTAGATGTGTCAGATTTAAAGTACTGGCAATTGTAGAGGGGTTTCATAGAAATAAGCAAGTGCCCAGGGAAGGGGTCACAGCTGGCAGTTTCGTGGGTTTTGAATCTCCCACACAGAGGAGGCAGTTAAAAATAGGAAGTGCGTAACAGAATGGAAGAGAGAATAAAGAGGAAGAAAGGAAGTGACTGCAGTGGAGAAAAGCACTTAATAAAGGCGAGAGTGAAGCAGCATTCCAAGAGAAATGACAACCACGAGAGGGATAATAGCTGACATTTCATGGTCATTTTATGACCTGCTGTGTAAGATGCTGAGCATTTTACACACATTTGCTCATTAAATTCACACAGTTACCGTCCTCAGCTAGAATTTTAATTTTGGTTTGCTTGATAGCAGCCACATTTTAAAATCCCTGTGGTTGAATCCTAGATAAATCCAGGAAAGGAGGTTCATCTTTTTGTTGTTGTTGTTTTGATTTTTAATGATCAACAATGGAAAACACTGCTGAAGTCGCCAGATGGAGGGCTGAAGAGAAGGGACTAACTGCAGGTGACACTTAGGGAACGTAGTCACAGCACAGGAGTGAGGAAGGGCCGAGGCCCCAGGGAGTCGCAGTGCAAATGGCAGAGATGGATGTTCATTTGGGAGTTTTGTTAATGACAAACAGCTGGCAAAGGCAGCAGGGTCAAAAGAGAATTTCAAAAATGGGAAATGTTCATGTTGGAAGACATGAAAAGGAGCCAATGCAGAAAAAGAAAAGTGAAATGCTGTAGGAAGGAAGGACGATACCATCAGTGCCCACTGTGATTGGTATGTTTGAAATCACATTTCCCAGGATTCCGTGGGCTTGAAGAGAGCCCCACATGGGGGAGCAAGTCTTCCTCCTCCATGCTCTGCCTGGGGCTATGTCTTTTCTGGCTATAGGGTAGACTTGTAGTTACGTAGACCAGTTCTCTGTGATGAATTAAAAATTCAGGAAAAAAAAAAAAAAGCCAGAAGGTGAACAAAGTTCTCTGGCTCTGTGTTCTTTCTCCTGAACTCTCTCCTGAGTGAGGGATGGCGAGCTTCGCCTTCACAGGGCATGGCTTCTAAACATGGATCCTGTGGGTTCCTCAGATGGCTGTAAACATTCTTAATTTAAGGACACCATGCACAGCTTTGACTATTTTTAACCCACATCACTGTCTACATCTGGGCCTTTCATTTTATAAGCTGTATTTTTCTTGGTTCAGTGGAGTAGAGGATGCGTGGTTGATTTCTTGGCCTCTGAAGTATTCTGAGATCATCAGCCCTGATCAGTGAACCCACAAAATGAATGGCTTCTCAGGCAATGATGTAATGGTGTGTACTTCAAAGTTTCCAACGAGACAAATTAAGTAGGAAATTTACCGATGTTGAAAAAAACTGCTTGAATTTTATACATCATAGATTAATAAATTTGTAAACATATTATTCTCACTCTTTTTTGACAGAAAGAAATTCCGTCTCAGAAAAATTAAACAACTCACAGGACCAGGATAAAAAACAAAAAAAGGGTTCCAAGCATCCCTTGATTCTTTTTCATTGCAACCATATTGCCTGATCTCAGGAGAGCAAGCAGTAACTAAATTGAGAGCATCAGAAAGCCAGAAAGAAATAAGACATCTCTTCCTCTGAATGACAGAGAATAACTGAGTCAGGGAGAAAGTGAGGTTGAAGATTTATCAATAGAAAATGAGAGCGCTCATTCAGCTCAGGCTGAATTGCCTGAATACTCTCCAAATAGGTGAAGGCATCTCCTGAAAATGAAAGACTGACAGGGTTCTGCTTCGGTAGGTGGAGAGTGGTGATGATTGGGTATAACACAAAAGGAACAAAGGTTTAGGTTGAGGGTGTAGCTCAGTGAATGCCCCGTGCCAAAAAAAAAGAAGAAGAAGAAGAACAAAGGTTCTACAATATGGATCAAAGACGCACCAGACATTTGATGAATTAGTTACTGTTCTACAGTAAAAAGAAATGAAAATTTCAGAGAATATGAAATTTGCTGATCAAATATGTTCCGCTCAATCCTCTGGTACTTATTTATTTAGCCAATAAATATTTACTGGACCCTGATCATGTACCAGGCACAGCGTCAGCTATTGGTACACAAAGATAAATAGTGCAGCTAAATATCTAATCAGCTGGTTGAAAATATCAATAAGCTCCATTGTTTCGCCCTCCTTATCAAAGATCAAATATGGACTACTGATATGATCTCTTTTATCTGTTTTCATTACATAGTTCCAATATATTACACAGCTATTCTTTTCTGACAGACTTATAGATTTTTTGGTTTATATTTTAAATCCACTTACAGATAAATCGGGATGTTACTTGCTATACTTTTTGGGGTCAATTTTAATACATTTTTTACTGAGATAAATAGCTCTAAAATTGTAAATCCTCTTAATATGTGTTCTATTGTGTTATTATCTGGCAGATATAATTTTCCCCATTGGTTTATGGGGATTTTTTTATGACTGATTACATGTTCCATTTGAAATTTTTGATAATTTATATAAGTGATGGATAGCATTTATTTTTCTTATGCAAACAATGCATACATTATAATACATCATAACAGTGTTTCATTAGATTTCTTAATTTTGCTACTACTGATATTTTCACTCAAGCAAGTCTGTTACATTGGGCTATCCTGTGATGTAGGGTATTGAGTGGCATCTCTGGCTCTGATGTCCGGGTGGCCTTAATTTGACAACCAAAATTGTCACTAGGCACAAGATCATTTTGTCCCTGGAGCTCAAAAATCATTCTTGATTTAGAAAGTGCTATTTAAATTTAGTCCTCACAGTATCCTTAATCAAGGTTGATACAGTAAGAAATTGAAGATTCTCTCACCTGTAAACATTTTCAAAAGTATATTTTGGTTTGCCTTCTTCTTTAGTCATTGTGTCACTCATATTGAGTTATTCAGGACATCAAAGTTTAATAACTCCATATAAAAGGTCAGATTTATGATTAGTACAAATATTTAACAATCAATTTCACTGTTATGTATAATTATAATACATTAACAAAAATAAATGAATAAAAAGGTAGGGTTAATTTTGCCTAGAATCCTTCTTGATTTTTAAATGAGAAATGAAAGAAAATTCTTCCCAGCTTTACTATGCCCAGAGAGAAAGCAGTTGGAAATTGGGTACACCTCATCAGAGACATAATTCAGACAGAGCCTGGTTGTGGAAGGGCATGTCTGTTTCTATGCCTCCTCTTAATACTACCTCATGTCCTCAGCCTGACTATTGCAAATCCCTGAAATGCCCACTCTACCTCAGGGGCCTGAACAGGGTCAGCATATCACAACTGTTTTACTGAACTACATTAACTGGAAAACACTTGCTTTTCAGATTCCACACCGGGTTCCTAATTAGGGCAAGAAGTAGTTTCTGAACACTTCTGAAAACCCTAAGTGCTAAGTGAGTAATACAAAGAATAGAGAAGGGAATACAGTTTCTCTTTCTTTCAGAAAAGGCCAGGTCTCATTGGAAAAAAAGTAGAGTTATAAACAAAGAAAAAACAAACAAACAAACAAACAAAAAAAAACAGAGATCACCAGGCATGGTGAAGCATGTCTGGTGCTCATTTTGCAGTTTATAATGTTTTTTCACATACATTATCCCATTTAATCCTCTTAAATATTTCATGATAATTAGCCAGTAAATGATTATTCCCATTTAAGATATTATGAAACCGAATTTTGAGCTAGAACATCTTCTGTAATGATGGTTTTTCTTCTATGTCATATATTATGACCTCTTAGGAAATAAGGAATACCTTTTCCTTAATATTTTGGGTTTTGTTTGTTTGTTTGTTTGTTTGTTTTGAGATTTCCTCATCTGTTTAAATTGCCTCTTCTGGAACACCTTCACTAAACCCCTGGATGTAATCAGGTATCCCTCTTTCATTTTCCCAGAGCATCCTGAACTTAACTGTGTAGTATAGATCACTCTGAATTAGAATTGCCTAATTTTTTTTCAGTCTCTATACCAGACTATAAGCATTTTGGTCTTGTTCAGTGTTTCATCCTTGATATTTATCACAGCATCTGATAGGTGCTCCAAAAATATCTGTTAGTTGAGTAGGAAAATTCAACATAAGATTTGGGGAGTTTCTAAGCAAACTACATGGAAAGTTAAATGTCAGAACTTTATTACAGTTTCTCTCTGTTCAAAATAATCTTATGCATTGATTATGGGCTTCTAAGAATCCAAGTAAACATGTTTTAGGGGGGGAAAAACAGTTTCCACCTCTAAAATGCAAAATGGACCACATTTACATTGAGAGTTTGGCTCAGTACCTTCATGTGTACCCTGCCAAGATTTTATGAAAATGATATTGGACAAGCAGATGACTAAGTTGCTAAATCTTAAAGTAATATGTAGATATTAGATTTTCTGTTAATTATCCAACCAGCTCAAAGATGTAAACACTTCCAATAGACAGTTACATAGCAATACCAGAACTTATGATTATTTAATGTTTTCATAAGGAATAATTAGGATCTCCCAAACACAAAATCTGATTCATTATACATACTATTACATAGTATTTATTATGTTCACTTTCTTCTATTTCTCTTTTTGAAATTTTAATTTTTAAGAAATCAGAACAGGAAAGAGAAATTCATCTCATGCAGTATCTGGAAGTAGAATGCACAGCATTGATGTATAAATCATTGGTGGATTTTCCTTGCTATATCTTGGGTGTCTTGAACATCCCTAAGTAAATGAAAGAGGACCATAAAGATGCTAAGACAACAAAGATGAGAAGAAACTGTTTATAAGGTTACAAAAGGGATTTAGCAATGACCCCTGAAGTGTGGCTAGCAGTAACATTTTAGTTCACAAGCAGTTGAAGATCTAAAACTTGTTCTGATTTCTTCTGGAATGCCCAATAGGATTTTCTGGCGAAGGCAGGTTCACGTGCCAGCAGGGATTCGGCCCAGCACTATCACCAGCTCCTTCCCCCAGCTCATGTCCAACGTGGATGCAGCTTACGAAGTGGCTGAGAGGGGCACTGCTTACTTCTTCAAAGGTATCCTACAGATCCCTCAGAGAAAGAAACAACAGGAGCACAGTACCCACCTATTTGAAATATCTAGTTCTGACAGTAGTAGTTCAGGATCATGGAGCATGTTTTCAGTTGCTCCTTCTCAGGTTGGGAATGAAATTTTACCCTAGGTGATACACATCTGTATTCCCAGCTGCTTGGGAGTCTGAGGCAAGAGGATTTTGAATTCAAAGCCAGCCTCAGCAACTGATTGAGACTCTGTTTCAAAATAAAATATGAAAAGGATTAGGGACATGGCTCAGTAGTTAAGCACCCCTGGGTTCAATCCCTGGTACCAAAAAAGAAAAAGCCACCCTACTTTGTAACAATGACATAAATATCAGTGACCATCAACTGTTTTCAGAACTTAGCTGTTGATTTTGTGAGGAACACATGAGGTACTGTGGTCAGGGATCTAAAACCTGGTCCCTGCCCCATGCTGCTCAGAGTAACATGGCATATTCTACTGAGGTCCTTGAACACATCAACCCTGAAGATGTATTGTGACAATAGCTAGCCAATGAAATTATCCAAGAAGTGATAACTATCAGTTTTTGCTTATATTTTCTTGATACTGACGGATAAGGGTGGAATACTGGTGCCAATGTAAGTGAGAATTATAGCTTTTGCACATCACTTGACCCTCCTCTCTCATATGTCTGAAGATGAAATTAGATTAAAAATGAAAGGTATCTTGAAATACTAAAGATGTTAAACATAAGACACAATTGTATCGATATTATTGTTTCCTTAAAGCATAACTAGAGATTTTTGTCTCCATGGAAACTTCAAATCTTTTACTGAATTGAATAATTAGAGGCTTATATCTCATCTTGAGTTATAGTCATGGCAAATACCTTCAGGCACAAGTTCCACTTAGAGTCCTACATATACATCTTCAGGAGTGACAGGCATCATTAAATGATACAGAATTTTATGTAAAATTTAGTTTCTGTTTTCAGGCCCCCACTACTGGATAACACGAGGATTCCAAATGCAAGGTCCTCCTCGGACTATTTATGACTTTGGGTTTCCAAGGCATGTGCAGAGAATAGATGCTGCTGTCTATCTCAAGAAGCCACAGAAGACCCTTTTCTTTGTGGGAGATGAATATTACAGGTATGGTCTTTCTCTTTTTATTGTCTAGGTATATTCAATAGGAAGGGAGAAAAGTCTTTTGTAAAAAAAAGACTGCAAGGCAAGTTTTCAACAGGCCTACTGACTTTCCTTGACCACTGGTCTTTAAGATGGCCAGTAGATGCTCTTCAATATACAGAATCACCCAAATGATAAATGAAGTATTCATTCAATAATCCCACTGTTTGGTCTCTAGGACATCAAACATCCTGATCTTTCAATGAACTCAGTAACTGGACCCACTGGCCCAAAATTGTGGATTTGGTATCCCCAAGTACCTAACTACCCTCTGGGAATGCCTGAGTGGGAACTGACTCTACTGTTACATGTGCATAAAATGCATTTCAGAATTCTCTGCAGTTTGAGACCAAAAAAAAAAATGTATGTAGAAATCAATGTGGGGCTCTTTGAAGGAAAACTCAGCTGAAAGGAAAATAATTTAGGCTAAGTCCTTTTATCTAGCCTAAAATAAGAAGATTCATCTTATCCAAAGGGGAATACCATATTATTTTCATGCCTGTCTTGCATGGTATTACTATAAGCAGATCTGAGTAAGGTGTGATCTGCCACCTAACCACTGCACACAGGGTCATGCTTTGCCTCACAAAGTTTCTATCCTTAGTTGACTGCTGTTGAGGAATGATTGCACCTCTTTGCCAAACTCCTCAAAGGCACATCTCCTCTGCTGCAAACATTCCTCTACTCTCAGTTATCTCTTTGGCACTTTCTGTTTCCTTGAACTTCAAAAGAGACACGAAAACAGATTCCAAGCAGGTGACTATGCTAAACACCATATACCTGTGAAGAGGATCTAGAGGATCTCTTTGGTCTAATATTTTCACTTTTATCATTTCTAATAACCATCTGTGTGGCACAAGATCATATTTATAAAAAATATTTGTCATCTTCTCCCACCTTACTGATATCATCTTCCCCAATTGGGAGCTGAGAAAGTGCTATAACTAGAACACAGATATATTTCATGAGAAGAGAAAAAAAAATTATTTCATAGAAAAGAATCTGAAACAAATATGGACCTTTATGACTCTTCTTAGTCACTGAGAACCTGGAGGCATTGCTCAAAGTATCAGGGGCTGTCCTGAGTTGTCACTTCCAGCCCAGCATTTCAACCACTGAATCAGATACTTTCCTCTCAGACCTCCCTGAAACGTAGCATTGAAACTCATCTACTGAGACACTAATATCTACTGGGCAGAATATGATCTTCCAAAGGTCGTCTTTAAGATAAGGAGGATATGATCATGGTGTGAATGTGTGGGGAGATAGATATTGAGAAACCCCATTCCTGTTGTGGATCTTCAAGGTACTGAGATCAACAGATGCCTGTGAAAGGGAGGGGAGAGGAGGGCATTTATGTGAGTCATTCAGCTAATTTCCCAAAGAGTGTTCACAGCCTTATTCTCACTGGAAGTATTGCCCTCTCTCTCATGATTTCTCTTCTCCTCTAATCATTTTGTCTTTGGACTAATCTATCACCCACCAGGACTCTCAGTAAAGCATGGACTTCCAGTTAGGCTGGATGCAAGCTAAACAGCTAGGGCAAGAGTCTTCCTGAAGACAAAAGTTTAAAATTCTCTGTAAATTGAAGTTGGGGAGGGAGAAGGTCACTGATTTTTATGATGCCTGGTGCGCCCAGAGAAAATAACATTGTACATTTCCAACTAGGTCTCTGTGAGTATGTTAAGAAAGAGTCTTTAGTACAATCTAGATAAAGAGGATTCATTTAAAAAGTTGGTTTAGGGCTGAGGTTGTGCCTCAGCGGTAGAGCGCTCACCTAGCTTGTGCAAGGCCCTGGGTTTAATTCTCAGCACCACATAAAAATAAATAAATAAAATTAAGGTATTGTGTCCAACTACAACTAAAAAAATAAAACATAAAAAATATTAAAAAGCTGGTTTAGGACATTGATTCAAGGAGCTCGACCTGCTGATTAGGAAAAGAACCCAGAATTGTCACTTTTAACCCTCCCAGGGCATTAAGTGATACATGCAGACGCCCAGCACAGAATCTCGTGCATAGTAGGTGCTCAAAATGAGTAACTCTTGAGTAACAGTAGGAACTAATATGGCTAATTAACAAATAATTATTTTAAAAGCTGTGATAATGAACCAGTAATTGCCTAAACCTCAATATTTCTGAGTGGCAATCCAGTCACAAAGCTGATCAAAGGGAATTTCCTTTTTAAATGCTGAAAACCCTTGATGTTGATTGAAATTACTGTCTTTGGCAAAGCTTAAAAAATCCCTTCAGCAATGGGAATCTTCTACTTTACATGCTACAACCCATACACAAGCACATCCACTCAGGAATAAGACAGACAAGCTGACCTACAGCTAAGAAGTTTAGAACAAGCTATTACATCAGCCCAATTTGTCCTCCCTCTAAATTCTGCACATTGTGCTTTGCAGGTCCTTACATTGATGACATCTATTGTCACGTGAACGTCAATGTTAGACATTGTGGTCAGCTGCTAGTAACAAAGACACATAAGAGTTTATTTATTTTTTTTTAATTTTTATTGTTGGTTGTTCAAAACATTACATAGTTCTTGATATATCATATTTCACACTTTGATTCAAGTGGGTTATGAACTCCCATTTTTTCCCCGTATACAGATTGCAGAATCACATCAGTTACACATCCATTGATTTACATATTGCCATACTAGTGTCTGTTGTATTCTGCTGCCTTTCCTATCCTCTACTATCCCCCAAGAGTTTATTTTTAATATATGTAAAAAGTCAGGAGTTCAACAGATTTAGAGTCAGTATGGTGAGTCTGTGGTCACTGGGGACCCAAGCTGCTTCTTATGTTTTGCTCCCCAGTTCTTAGCACGTGGCTTCCATTCCCACATTGCCTCATGAATTGAGGTGTCCAGTGGAGCCTTCCATTAGCACATCCCTGTTCTGGGTAGAAAGAAGGAGAAGGCTGGGAAGGAAGGGCAAAGCATCATATGGCCATACTAAAAAATACAGAAGCCCACAGCTTCAAGAATCCTACATCGACATCCACTGACAGTGTGTTAGGTCTTAATTTTCCTTAATCACTTCTTAGAGCTGGTCCTCATGCAAGTTCAGTCTGTGACATAAACAAAACAAAAACTAAAATATGCTTATTATGAGGGAGCTACTCCATGAATTCCTAGGATTTCGACCCAGTTTCTGTGAATGAAACTCATGAGAAAATGATTGAAGTTCTTCCTCTAGAGGATCTAGGGCTGGCTTGGAGCCAGGTTGGTTTAGGCTCTAAAGTGACACCTAAGGGTCATGTAGAAGTTGTTCACAGGGGAAAAGCACACAGAAAACCACAGAGTGAAATCTTAAAAAGAAGCTCGACCCTGTTGATGCCTCCACTTACCACATCACCAACCGACATGTTGGCTGAACTTTGCCAGTGAGGCTACTGCCCCCTGATGTGTTTTTATTAAACCCCCTCTTCCTTCTAGCGGGCACCAACGACAGTCAGTTTTTCTTTCTCTACATTACTTTGTCATTTCTAGCTAATTTCTTCCTATAGATGTTCTCCCTCACCTCCCAATAGCAAAGCAGTAGCTCTATCAAGGGGTTCCTAGGGGGGTAGGAATCTGCCATTACCTCCATCATTCTTTCACAGAGAGGTAATGACTTCTAAATTTTATGTAAAGTGATTTTTAAATCTACAGGTCCAGCCCTTTTCAATCTCATGGCCACCCCAAGTCACTCTTTTTATACAGATAGACTAGAGGCATCATTGCTGCAAAGTAAGATACATCTTCCACATACTCTCCTTCTGGATGCCCCAGGAATACTGGAAAGAGATAATTTTATTTAAAGATTTTATATTTAGTCACCACATAGAAATAAATAATAAGTAACAAAAAATAAGAATATGGAGTGCAATTTGAAATCTTGCCTTTTAATGTCTTGATTTTTTAAAAAATCATTACCGAGTTATCACATTCAACTATACTGATCAGGCATGATTATGTGTCTGGCTCTGTATGGGTCCCCATGACACCCAAGAGAAGGCATAGCATTTGCCTGATTAGTGGGTGAACGGGAATAAGAGAGCCCTGGTGTTAACCTTAACCCTACCTGCAATCATCTGACAATCTGAATCACCTCTCTCTTTTAGCTTCATCATCTCAAAGTGAAATTTAAAATATTACCCACTTACTTTCATGGAGTTATAGGATTAAATGAAACACTGTGAAGTGCCTATCACATACTAAGCATTCAATTCATGTTGGTGCGATTAATGCCCTCAACAGATCATATGGTTGAGAGTAAATACATAGATTAATAATTAACAAATCTAAGAGCCAAAATTGCCCTAACCAAAGACCGCATGAGCATCAAAGGACCGAAACAAAGAGGAAACAGCCAACTCTAGCACAGGTGCCGGGAAAGAATTCTTAGGGGAATCAGATGATTGAACTCCACTGAGAGCTGTGTAGGAGTTTCCCAGAGTGGGTGGGGATGCAGGCTTCCAGGCAGAGAGAACGGTTGAAGCAAAAGCACTGAGGCACAAAAGGGCCTGAGAGTGTGGGGAAAACCTCAAGTTCAGTATGACTAGAACTTGGACTAAACAAGAGAGTACCCCAAGGAAAGCAGGGTATAGATTGCAGGGCCAGTGACTTTCAGGATGATCCGTATTTATTCTGTAGAAAAGAGGGACATGTTTAAATATCTTAAATAAGGGACCAATGCAATGATTTGTGTCGTAAAAATTACTCAGGCAGGAACGTGACTGGTTTGGAGGGGTATTTAACTAGTTAGGGGAAACCAGCTAAATTAGTGCAGCCAAATGGTGGCAAAAAGCATATTTGAAGTGCTTAAAGAAAAAAATTCTTAACCTAGAATGCTATAACTAGCAAAGCATTAAATGAAAGCATTTAAAATGAAAGCATTCTCTGGTAAACATAAACTCAAGAGAATTTGTTACTTGCAGACTTGCCTTACAAGAAATACTAAAGGTGGTAA